TTTCTTCCAAAGGCTGTAAAAACAAAGCTAGATTTCCCCTGGGAGTAGGTGCCAGTATTTCCCATAGCAGGATACCTTGTAGCAGTTCCAAAAACTCAAATCCAATAGACTCGTAATATCTGAGGATTTTCACGTGTGTATGTACGCATGCATTTCCCTGCTAAATTTGAAGTTAACCTTTCTCTTAATCTAAAAATTACATATTAATCTTGCAGTTAATGCATATTTGAAAAGTTTTTAAAAAGCAGAACATGAAAAATATCTAATGGGATCACACTCACAGTTTTCCCTCCCTGTAAATAGTTTATTTTCCCTTATAGAACACAATTTCTACTTCTAACTTTTTACAGAAGTACTGCAAAAAGCAACATTTTTACTGCCTGCTGCATTAGATCTTGGAACCAGTTCTGTATCCACCAAAAAATAGCTTTGGTGATTATGAAAGACATTGTTAAGGAAACAGAATAGAAGGGCATATAGATTTTCAGGGTCTTTAATTTAAGTCCAAAACCTTAAAGAAGGTTTAAAGTGTATGGAAAATTGAACACTACATTAAGCCTTCTCTTGTTACATATATTGAAGCTTAGAGTTTCTGTAACCACTAATTCCCTGATTCCCTCTCCTTATAAAACAAAAAGGAGCTCAGTCCTTTGAGTGAAATAAATAAGCTCAAAACCAAGTTCACCAAACATTCTGAGATTATATTCTGCATGCCCTATTCCCCCACACACACAGCCCAGGAGGAAAATTTAAGATTTATCTTTATAATTAAGGAATTGTTCCACTGAGGGTTTTATACTTTATATAAGATATAGAGATTTTAGCCAAACATGCTGTGCAGTAGAAAACACTGGCCAAGAGAAACACATTCAAGTACTGTGATGCAGTTTGTGTTTCACACCTGCACTGAAACCAGCAGAAAAATGGTCCAACAAAGTAAATTAGCTAGTTGAACTCAGCCTGATTTTCAGCAGAAAACAAAAGGGGGCTTGCACTCTATAGAAGATGTGGATGCAGAAAACCGTGGTGATAACGTACAACCACATCTGAATATTGCTCAAGTACCTCAAATGCAGAATTTAAGCTCTATGACAAGTATCTTAAACTTGGAATATCACACTCTCCGTTACTTTTCTCACTTGCACTTACTCATAAGGATTTGGGGGACAGAAATGCCTTGCATGTAGGAGAAAAGTAAGAGCATACATCCACAGCAGCTACTGCAATGTACAAAAAAATAAAAATCATAGATTTCTGGTACAAGATGTTGTTCAAAATACAAGCTCATCTTCACAGAGACTCTACTGGGTACCACCACTTTTCATCTGTACAAAATTACCAGCAACGACAAATGGTACATGTGTATAGGGAACAATAACAAACCTAGGTAGCCTCATAAAATCTGTGGCTAATGTCACGATGTATTTCACATCACAGCAAGTAACTACAAGAACACAGATCTCTGTCCAATACAGCAGAAGCAGCTCCACCACCACCACCTGCATTAGCACTTGTCCCTAGGCAGTAACTTATGTCAATGGTCCAAGTTCATTACCTAAAATGAAAGCCTAGAAATTAAAAGAATATTCCATTATCAGAAGCACTTTCCCAGCCTTCTGTCAATAATACTGCACTGCAACCTCAGCCTCTGACAGAGCTGTGTGTATGTAAGTTTCAGCCTTAATAATATATGTATATTTATACAAGCACCAAAAAGCTGATTTTCCCCTCCTAGACCTTCATTTCCACATATTTCACTATTACATGTTGGCAGACCAAATTTGTAACATCAAACGGGATGCAACAAAACTGGACTGAACAAATGAGGGAGGCGATACAGACAGGCCACATGCCAATATATTGACTTTGCCTGTAGAAACAACTCCTGCTCCTTTAGGTTATCTACTTACACCACTACATGGCTATTTACTGCAGGAATGGCAGCAGAGGAGAATTCCCAGAGGAGGGAGAAAGCATCACAGTAGTGATATCAAGTATAGTTCAGGTAATGGAGTCAACAGGAAGCACAAGGAAAACATAGGCATGCATTTGTTAAAGAACAAGAGGTGGTTAAGGCAAATGGTTTACCTAAACGGGCAAAAAGAACAGGTTTTGAAAAGAGTAAGCCACCAGCAAGAGATGAGCACAAGGAAGCCTGAGAGTCATGAAACCCAGGTCTTTGAACAGGTGACCACTGAAAATAGGAAAGGAATAGACCAACCTTCAAAACAGGCAGAGAAAGCAAAGTAAAAGAAACTTCAGGAAGGTTAGAGCAAAAGGTGAAAGAAAGATTTCTGCGGATATGAACAAAGTAGGGAGACTGGAAAAGCACCTGGAAATTCAGATTGCTGCCTTATAGACTGTGCTCTCCACAGGGACACGAGAAAGGAAAACAAAAAAATACATTTCCCTTTGTTAGTAAGCAGAAGTAACACACGAAAGGAAAGAGGTGTGTTCATAAGGCGTGTTCACAGTCTTTATACTGAGAACCCAGTTAAACGAAGCAAGAGGGAGAAAGGCAGAAGAGAAGGAAGAATGAAACATCACCACAAAATAAAAAGGATTCTACTATATAAGATGTCAAATGAGCAGGATATGAAAACAAAGAAGGACAAAACCCCTAAAACATGTAAGTCTTGGCAAAGCAATATCAGTGCAAATCTGAATCAACTATGTCAAAAACAGCCAAAAAATATCAGAGGTTATCAAAGTAAAGAAGAAACACTGTGGAGGAAAAATAAATAAAACCAATAAAGCTGACAGAATCAATTTGTTCATCTGAATCAATCTTTAGGAGTCATTTTGTAAATATTAAATAGAACTAATAGGTTGTGAAAAGTGTTCTTCTATAGCAAGATATAAAGGAAACAACATTTTCACAGGGTGAATGATTAAGAACCAGAAGAGGTGCCAAGAAAGGCTGAAAACCTCCATGCCTAGAAATACTCAAAACAAGCCCGGACAAGACCTTCGGTAACCTGATCTAACGTTGGAATTAGTGCTGCTTTGAGTGGAGAGATTGGATTAGAAGACCTAATTTAAGCTGTGATGCTCATTTTAAAAAGTCATCAGCATCCAGTTTGAACCAGGAAAGTAGTTTTTTTTTTCCCATCAGTTGCTTCCAAACTATTATCATCAGCTCCCAGAGAAAATAAGGAAGTAAAACATATTGCCTTGGCAGTGCCAACATGAACCAACAGCTTTTTAATTTTTCCTGATTGTTATCTGTAAAACAGTCACTTTCCTCAGACACAGCATCTTCTAAAATAAATCTACTGCAAGAACAGAAAAAAAGCCCAGCATTAAATTCCTTTTCGACTTGCACATCTGCCTTACTTCCTGATGTCCTTTTAGCACGTTTTCTTAGTTCCTGAAGCATTTTCTATGTAGGCATTACTTACACCTATATATATGCATGTGTATTTATACATACCTACCCAAATGCATACAGACACACCACCACATATAGACAGTAAATACTCAAGACTACTAAAATTATCAAAGCCTACCACACTACACAGTTAAACCAGGAAAATGCATTCTCACTCCCAGCATGTCTTCAGCTGACACTAGGAGACATTTGGGCTCCTTCAACCTCCCTTCCTTTTCCAACACTGCCCTGAAGCATCACTATGAAAACCACTCCCCTTCACGTCAAAGAGATACAACATCCCAGAGAAATTCTGGGCTCAGGAAAGCTCTAAACAATCAGTATATAGGGCTTGAAAAATTCTGATTATCTGTGGCCAGAAACAGATTTCTTGGTTATAAAGTTCCAACTAATATATAGTTAAATATATTAAAAATAAGTATCAGTTTATCCAAAAGCAATCTTACTTATATACTGTGTACCTATATAGTCAGTTATACAAAAATTAAATAGGCTAATTTTACGATGAGCAAATACACTATCATAACACAGTCACCACTGTATCCGCAGCACAATGTGTCAAGCTATTTCAGTTATATCAATAAGATGGCACAAAGAAAAAAAAAATCAAAATTTACACAAAATATAAAAAGGTGAGACACAGAACATATTCAGAGAATGCAACAATTGCTCTGCAATTGCCTTAAAGCATCAGTAAGGTATGAATGGTAGTATGCTAAAACGGTACATTTGTTTTCCTCAAAGGAAGTTAAATTAACCATGCCTGTCCTATTGTTTAATAGGCGAGGTTCATGGTCTATAAACAATTACTTATGCTAGCAAGTATGTAATAGGCTATATCCCATTACAATGCAAAAGAAAAAAAGGAATATGATGCTTTCAAGCAAAAAATCTATTTCATGCCCAGCTCACACAAGATTCTGGAGCTCACTCACTTCCAGCTGGTTTACTCCATAAGAATCAGTTCAGTCATCATACACGACTGACACTAACACAGATTACAACTGTTGTAATACTACTGCAATTGAATAAAGCTTCCACAGCACCACTACAAAAATAAAACCTCACCAGTATGTTAAAGTTCAAAACAAATTGCAGAAGTATTTATTTCAGCTTAATAGGTGGTGAAAATGTCATTTGCGTTGCAGCACTGCATTCTGTGCATTTGAAGTAATAAAGCAGCATAGTTCTAAAATAACTGAGAATATTCACTCTGCTTTGACATTTGATTTCTAAATAATGCTCAACTAAAATGGCCACTCTAAGGCAAGTCTGGGAAGTCACCTAACAGATTTTTAGGAGTCTCTGGTAAAGCGAAGTTTCAAAAATAAGGTAAGCCTCCTAGTTCAGACTTCACTTCTTTCCATAAGAATATTCACAAGACTACTGGATATGCACCAAACAAATAACAAACTGGGGTTTACTACTTTATACAAAATCCTTTTTTTAATTAATAAGACACCGGTGAAAACAGAAAAGTTCAGATTCTAGCACCACTGCCAAGTACTCAGTCAACCTGATTTACTTCAAAGACTGGCAGCAATTCTATGAGACCGTCGACACTGCAAACAGGAAGGGGGGAAAAAAGGGATCCTGAAGTTGCACTTACCTGCAGCCCTCTTCTTCGAAGAATACTTGAATCATCCATATGTCGACTCTGCGGATCACAAATCCCTGCTAAAGCTCGCTCGCTTCTGGCTTTGCTCTCGAACTGTTAAAGAAGTCCATTATTTTCAAACTTTTCTCTCCCTCCCACCCCCTCTCCGTCCACTTGCTAAAAATAGGACGTGGTCGTTCACTTGCCTGTCATGAAGAGCTGCAGCCACGGTCTCTGACTATCTGTACACAATTTTGCCTGCCTCCTTTGTGGCAGATTTAGCAGGTCACATTGGGAAAAATCTGTTCGACTTTGCTAAATCTTTCCAAGGTTGGATGTCTCACTCCCCTCATACACAAAACAGTCTAGAAAAATATAATAATCCATGACTCCGTGTAAGGCCGAAGAGTGGCATTTAATTCAGATCCCACACAAGCATATTTTTTGCTTTATTTCAATTTACTTGAGCTGTTATAAGGGATCGGTAAACTACAACAGCTGCCTTCATTTACTGTTTATAACAAGCTCACAAAATCCAGGTCACATTTCCTTTAAAAAACACACGGTCACACTGAACTAAAAAAAATCAATTCTGTGGACACACAGGATACAGCACTAAAATACAGAAAAAACTCCCTATGGAAAAGACAGTTTATTTCCCCAAATTTTTAAAGATTCCTTCACTCCTTTGTATGCCCAAGAGCCTGTCAAATTCTTCAGCTACTGTCACACATTCTTTGTTTCTGCTATCTCTGAGGTATGCTGGTCCCCTTCTCATATGCAGCAGACATGGCACATTCTTCAGCTCGTTGCTGAGATCTTGCGACTCTTACATGCTGAAGGGTCTGGAGCACATGTTGCAAGTTCTGAATATTTAAGAATTCATCCATCTATTCATCACTGACAGAGCTGTCTTAAGCCCTTCCCTCACCATCAGCCATAGCAAAAAGGCAAAAAAAGAAAGCAAAAGCACAGTTCAGCTGAGGCTTTTTCAGGCTGTCCTGCAGTTTCTGTTTTCCAGCTACCCTCAAACAGAACACCCCAGCGAGATCAAAAAAGGCTTTGCCCCTTTATGCATGTTAAGCCAATCCCATTTTAAAATATGAGCATACAGCCTGTGCTGAAACATAAACAATGCTAATGCTTCTAGCTATACCAAACACCATTTCACCAAACCCAAAAATCTAGGTGTGTTCATCCCAGTATTACTTCAACTACTGAGCATGTCAAGGAGCCTTTGTCCTACACATGCCCTTTCTGTATCAGAACGGAAAGAAGGAAATATCACAAATATAATGCACAACCTACTGCCGCAATGACCTTCATCTTTTTAGCAGAAAGCTAAAGCAACAGATTTCATCTCCTGATAAAAGCATAGGAAGCGCCTGTAACTTCGGAATACATATACTGTATTTAGAAAGAACCTAACCTCAGCTTCTGCAAGATTTCACAAGAGCTATAAAAGAAATCAAACTTCATCGAGAGCTGTGTTTATGAGGGGATTTCAGCCAGACATCCTGAAGTGTGCAAATGCAACAACAACGAGAGCCCAGACCATAGGCTGCCTACCACAGCTCGATGAAGTGTTCCTGTTCCCACAGTTATGACAGCTGCAAACCAAAAAGAGTCTCAATGCAAGCACACAGGTTGAGGGTGCTTAAAGGAATAGATATTTACATGGAAATCTTTAGCTGATCTTCATGCTAAGTGACCGAGTCACATGAGCTAAACACATCACTGTAAAGTCAGCTGAAAGCAGATACAACTCAATCCCATTCACCAGGCTTTTTCTGATCCTCTGCGGAGCGAGTGTGGTCTTTTATTGTGAGTAGCTAATAAATCCTCATCTTGCCGATACCTCCTTCCATCTGCCGTTTTAAACAACTGAATGCTGAATTAGGTCTGCAGAGTCTTTGTGAGCTCCCCAAGAGGGCAAGCAGCCGCACAGAGGCTGAGCAGGCAGCTCATTTGCATGGAGTATACTGTACCATATAAAAAGCAGCGCGCTAGTAAAAACAACTCAATGAACCACTCGATTTTAAAGGAACAGCATCTTCTTTCGCAAATAGACCTGGACAGCATTAAACCGTGCACAAACTCCGCATGAGAACTTAGTATGTCACAAGGGAGACAGCAACATTAAAATACAGGTAAAGCTCTCTTTAAAAGCAGACTGAGACATAACATGATCATGTTCCTCTACTGTGATACTATTTATGATGGATTTCAGTACTGCTTCCTGTATTTTACCATCAAATAAGCTTCCACAGACAAATATGCCAAAGACTATAACTTTGCTTATCAGACATTAGTGTCAAAGAAATGCTTTTACTTAAAAAAAAAATCCTACAGAAACAACACACTGGCATGCATACTCAGATATATCACATGCATTCTGCAGTTTATTTTAGTCTATAAGAGATTTTAGGAATATTTACATTAGACCATGCACTAGCTGGATCATTGATCACCCTCTTCTGACTAAGGCCACCAGCATTAAACAACATACGCTGTGGGAGGAATCAAGGAATCTTAGCAATTATGCAATCCCATTCGCATTTTCCTCCTAAAACAGCCACTAAATGAAAATGTTTAAGCCTGACAACAATCGTATACACCCCACTTATTTCTATAACATAAGTGAAAACATTCTCATTAGCACATATACAGCTAATCCTTCCTGGATTATTTACCTTATTACTCAGACACTGCCAATTCTCAAAACGTCTTCACAAGTGACTTATAATTGATTGAGGCTGGCACGAGACTCAAAATACCATGAGAATCATCTGTTCTCTTCCAAATTTCAAGCTTTCTTGGGGAGAATGCTTTCAAATTGGCTGCCTGCCACACTTCCCCAGTTTCTGGGGTAAAGAAGCCAATCAGGGCTGCTGCAAAAAGGCAGGCATGGTTTTTCCTCTAGCTTCCCTCTCCCTTTCCCTTCCTCTGAGCAAACAATCCTTATTTAAATGTCAGATAAAAAAACACCACCAAAAAGATCCTGAAAGTGGTGAGCAGCTTTTCTCCCTTCCCATTTAACTGTTAACGCTCACCCACTCTCCCTTCTTCTTCCTTCTACAGAAATCTGCCACAGAAAAGCAATGATGAAAGAGGGTGGAAGAGAATACCTAGCACCAAACTGAACGAAGCTAAGGAGAAATGGGATTTAAAAGCAACTCTCTGACATGGAAATTTTTTCTTACAAAATATTACCTTTAGAAATTTATCTGTCATTTCATCAAGAGATTACGCCATCTGTAGACATTCGTTTTAATATCCTAAAAGGTCTGCAGGTTAAGTCTCCAGTGAAAGATGAGAATGTATTTGTATAAGACATTTCACTAAGATATATTACTGAAAGATATTAAAGAAACTGAATTACAGGAAATAGAATTTTACCATTTATATAAAAACCTAATCAGAGAACAAATTTCTCCGTTTTCAAATGCAGGCAGCATTTTACAAAGGGCCTAATAAAGTATCTGTTTAGCAGAAGAAAAAAATCAAAATAAGCAGGCCATATAATATTTGAATCTTTTAAGAATTAAAGCATCTACCTTAGCACTCAACTTCACTAAAAAAAGTAAAATAAAGAGGAAGGGGGATAAAAAAGGGGAAGATCAAAGTTTGCTCACCAATAACTTCAGTAAGCTCAAACTCAATTTTTGTTCCTCCATCAAATTAACAAAACTGGAAAAATCCTGGGTTTCTCCTCTGCAGCAATATGAAATGAGAAACGGTAGTGTGGTATTGGGATCATTTGGACATAATCCAAGCCATTCCTGTTTGTCTGCAGCTCTCTCTCTGAAAAAGCTATTCAATCTTGATTTGAAGACACCAAGAAATGGAAAAGACGTAAACTTCCAGTAGATACGTTCCTGCAATGGTTAGTCTGGTAAGAAGGGAAGGATAGCTCGCCAGCTTGCCAATACTGGGATGGATTAAATGAGGCTAAGAGCAATTTCCAAAGAAACAAAAGGAAGTACTGCTGTACACAATAGTCACGTTGGGCTATTTCTTTCTGTAAAAGGCTGGGGGTGGGAGGAGGGTGGGGAAATCATGAACACAGCTAAAAGCCTTTGGACAAATTCATTGAAGAATCTGCCAAGAACTCTTATAAGAGGAAAATACACTGAAGACGATCCAGAGTCAGAAACAGCTGCAAGTGTTCTGGGAAGAGACCCTGCCTTAGACACCTGCTATCAGCTGCTAGCAGAGATAAGCTAATGGGCTCATCCAGTATAATCATTCTGTTTTTATTTAGGTAGAAAGTACGAAGGTAATGCTCACTGAAGACAACAGTGTCTTCCATTCTAAAGGGCATCAGCCCTACAAAGGAACTAGGGGTAACAATGAAACTGTAAGCTGAAAAATAATTCTCAACATAGTGTTACAGCTGTAACAGTTCATGTAAGCCCTGAACAAACCAAAAGAACTCAAGTTATAAATGAGTGGTACTGTCTTTGTTTATGGTATTAATGAAATCATTATGGAAAATCACATCTGCTACCTGTATTTCAGGATGAATACTGATAAGCTGCAAAGAGCAAAAGAGATGTTTTTGGGGTAGAAAAATGAGAGTTAAAGACATTAGTAACTCAACCTCCTTTAATTAACACAGGAAAGACCACAAGTATGACAAGATAACCAAGAATATTAAGAATGTACCTGGAATTATACTCCTTACACGCTAGACAGCAACCAACCCCACCTCTCCAGGAGGGGCTTGTTCTTACATATAGGTCAGCATTCCATTTCTGTTGATAACAAGGAATTTCACCCATGCTGATTCAGACCTCATCCCACTGCCTGCTACCAAAATCTATTACTCCTCTGTCTTACAGAAGACAAATCTGAGAGGTTGGAACAGTCGCAATGATTACCTGAAGATGACCGGACTTTTCCTCCTGTTAACTTCAGAACAATTGAAGCAACAATTCTTTTAGTTATTCTGCAGCCCACAGGTTTTCAAATAGCATCAGCGGAAGATGACCAAAGGCGTATTGATTTCACAGACGGGAAAGCAATGACCACAGGAGCTCGCTATGGAGTAGTGTGACTGTTTCTATGTACAATACATTTTATGACAACATAACTGAGAAATTGTGAATAACCCTATTACTTACATTTTCTAATCACCAAAACAACTGCAAAGGGGGTAATAAGAAAGGAGTCTATCTACTGTATTAGAGTGCACATACACATAGGCACAAAGACATACCTGTGTAGAATCACAGGGCTCATCTTTGAGCTGTGTTTAGTTTGGTTGTACTATCTATGCTGAACACAAAATACCTTCTACATACCTTAATTTGATATTGAAATGAGGCATTATTCCAGGAATCACTCAACATTCATGGAAAATGTTTCATTCAGTTTACTAAGAATTATGTAAAATACAAAGAAGAAAGCCATTCATTTTGCTATGACTTCCTAGTCTGTTCAGATTTTCCGGCACTGCACCCTGCCATCTTTTGTGATCTAAACCATTGCATCAGAATGGAAACTTACCACCACCAAAAAAGCAAAACCAGTAAAGGTCATTTTAGCAATCAAACCACTGAATTGTGGATAAAAATAATAGTGCACTCTCTAGCATAGGTGAAGTGAATCCAATATCCACACACATCTTTCACACGCAAACTCATAACTAGACATCTAAGTCCACTTACACTGACAAGTCAGAAAAGGTACTAAGCCACTTGTGATATTTAGTATCAACTGCAGAAACAGCAGAAAGCTGATCCACAGAACTGGGACCCCAGCATGGGAGACATGGTGCAAACCATGATCCAGTGATGAGTACTCCCACCCAGAAATCAGGTTAAAAAACCCAACAGTTTCTTAAATGTCTGCAACTGGATGCAATGTTTTTTACTGCATGTTTTTATTATCAAGGAACTTTTCTGACCGACTGATCTAAACACTGAGATTCAGAATCACATTTTTCATTATTCAGAATTCATTGTATTTCTTACTGTATTAAGTCACAACTAAAGGCAACAGAACGTCAAGCCGTGGTAAACCTTAAAGATATAACATTTCCTTACATAACATGTTGTCTGCTGGGAAAAAAAGATCACTTTTCAAAAGATCATCAGCTGACAATTTCAGTGGATTTTTTTTTTAAGCCTTCGGTAACATTTGTCTCTGCAACCCAAATGAGCCAAATGTTTCGCTGTCAATCTGAAACTTAAGTGTTTGGAGGGGTTTTATTTATTTGGATCAAGCTATGTTTATCTGGAGATTTAAAAACGTGTCCCTTTGAGATAAACTAACAGACTACTGAAACAAGGAAGGTTGATGAGGTAACTTGGCAGTCCGGCTAAGGAAACTCGCCTGACAGCTTGTCTGAATTTCTTCTGGATTTCTTGCCTATTTACAAGATACCGTTTCATAACGGAATCTTGATTCCCTTGGAGCAAAGCCCTACATTAACAACAAACCCCAATGGGAGTTCATTCCGAACCACAACAAGCTCTGCTCATGAGGCTTGGTCCCAGGGAGAAGAAATGCTGAAAAGAAGACTAAAATCCTCAAGGTTTACGCAATAATCAGGCTTCCACAGTGCATTTTCCATTTCCAGTTTGTTAGGTTTAGGCTCCTGGGCAAGGCTGTCCCATCCCCCACATTCAATGCATTATGAGAGGCGGCACACCCACTAATCTTCCATGCAAATGTAAATTCGCTGTCGACAAGGGTGGAGGAAAGAGTTCATTCATCTACAGACCGACTGCTTTCATACTGTACCAGTGAAGGTATACTCAGAAGAGACACCGGCTTCCAGGCAGAAACAAGTTCCTTGGCTCGGGCCCCTCCAAAAGCTAACATCTTTGGAAAGGCATCCTCAAATTAAACTTTAGTATTTACAGAAGATGGTGAATTCACTACATAAACATTCTTGTTCTGGAGTTAAACTGGCATTAGAACAGAATGGAAACTAGCTTCTCTGATGCTACATTTCAAATGCCATTTTTAAAAGAAACACTCTTTCCAACAGGCAGTCTCTTTCAATATATGCTGCGAATTTAAACTGGAAGAAACTTCATGTCTGTTTAGTAAACATTTAGATGACATTACCAAAATCAGGATTCTCTTACTTTATTGTAAGACAACCCTCACGCTTTACACATTAGGACTTAAGCATCAGCAGTGAATGCCTCTAAGCAGAATGGCAACAGAAGCAAAGCTCAAGTCCCAGTACCAACCCTTGTGTGTTTCTCTAATGAAAGGTATTGGTATATACTGAAAAGTTTATAGAAGCAACAAAACCTACAGCTTCAAGAAATCCACAGAAGTCATCATGAACCCAGTTAGCCCAGAAGCTATTTTGCCACAGAAACTGTTTCAATAAAAGCTACAACGCACAGACGGATCTCATCTCACACAAGAACACACTGAGAAATACCCCAAAATTCTACTATACATAGGATCTCGTCCACCGTTCTCTTCCACACTCCTGGCTAGCAGTGCTCTTCCTGCAGCCTCACCACAGCAGCAGTGGCACATACATGCCTTTTCTCTAAACTCCTCTTAAACTTTTCTGCTTCCAATTCTTACTTCATCAATGAAGCCAGATTTAACCTTGAAGTACAAGCTGGACATTTTTATATAGAGACAGCACTCCCTTTACAGACTTAGAGAGGTTTTCTTGAAAACTGCAGAGGTATGAGACTATGCCAAGCTGTATTTCACTGTATTTTCCCTCTCAGTTCTATCTACAGGGTATTTGTCATTTTAGACACTCAGTTCTTCAGAACAAACACTTGGTGCTTTGCAAAATGAGGAACTTACTCTATTGCACTAGCATAACATTTAGAAATAATGAATTAGAAAGTCAGACATACTCATCGGGTAAAACCCATGAAAGTTAACAACTTATTTTTCTTTATTATGCTACAGCATTGAACATATTTTTCCCACCTTAACCCACGTGCAATTCATTTCAATACACCTTGAATTTTACCGAGGTTTCCAGCCGACATCGAAGTGCTTGGACAAGCCTCCAAAAATATTTTGCTTGCTTAAGACCAACATTCAAACACTGCCTTCAAAATTAACACTTGCAGATGATAAGACAAAATATTTGGAGCTAGAGAGTTTTACTCTCCTCTGCTCAACTTGTCTATACGAGACTAAGCTTACACTGATATCTAAGGAGACATCTCACAGCAGCGTGTTTTGCCAATGGATTCTGACAGATTTTGTTCTTCCTTTTCTGGTCTCAGACAAAATTTTGCTATTCATTTCTCACAACTTAAAATGCTAGACATTTCAAAGCAGGCTGTTTTTAATAGACATCCCTTTTCCCAACATTCATCCACCAAACCAGGAAAAAAAAAAGATCAAGAATAAATTCATTCAGGCTTTCAAAGACTTACAGCGCAGAGACAAACTTTCTCTTTTATTCTTCCTCTCCTCCAGGATCTGTGTCAGACTTCCCATTTTTATGAGTTCTCCTCTTTGGTTTTTGGTTTGCCTTTTTTTCAATAGGAAAGTTATTTTTCCTCCGAAACCCACAGGTGCATTGTAATAATTTGGCAATCTCTCAAACTTTCTTGGCTTTGTTTAACAGAACCTATTACATTTAATCTGGGTAGAAGAAACAAAAAACTCTAAGAGATGTTGACTTAAAGCCTCAAATACTATTTCTCAGTGGAAACGTGTGACATTCGTTATTTTAAAAGGCACCT